AGTAACGTATCATCATTTGAGGTTCAATGAGTACTAGCCTCAATATGTAGAGTGCGAGAGTGTCGACTGACCTAAAATGGCGTCGAGTGATGAGAGTGACAGCGGCGAGATTTCGAATTCTTTAAAACGAAAGAGAGGAGTGTGCAAATACACCAAAGACTGGGAAGCTACTTTTGCATGGATTACCAACAACGAAACCAACAGAACAAATACAACGGCCTACTGTAAATTGTGTCAGAAATCGTTCACAATTGAATATAATGGTATAAAAGCTGTCACACAACATGTAAGCACAAAAAATCATTTAGATAAGGAGAAAATAGCTTCCAGCAACAAGCGAATCAAAATGTTTGTAAGAAAATATATAATTTAATTGTAAAATTTTTTTTTACTTTTTTTACTACTTAACCCCCCCCCCCCGCTTGTCCGCTATTTTTTGGAAGCAGACCTGGCAACCCTATGCATTGTAGTTTAATATGCTCTAAACTAGCCACATAGAGTTCTTTGTCCTAGCCTGCAGAAGGAATCCTGAAAAATAACCAAAAAGTTCTGGGGAATCTTAAAAATTAATGTATTTAATAGGACACCATTCTATTTAATAGCTTATTTCCTCAAATGATGAGGTGCACTGTGGCTCACAAAGCAGGTGCTGGAGATGTGTTGGTTTTTGCAAAGTTGCAAGACCTTTTTTTAAAAAGAAATACTCCATATTCTGCAGTAGATGGGAATATAAACATATTTTGAGGAGTGAAACATGTATTAGATATCAGAAAAAAATATTAAAGTTTCATATCTGGGTAATATATTATGCCTACAAGGGGGAACTCTTTATGATTTGAAAGTGATTTAGTCTGATGGGGGGGACATGATAACTGTCTTCTAGTACTTGAGGGGCTATCCCAGAGAAGAGGGGATGGATTTATTCTCCAAAGTAGAAGAGAGCAGGACAAGAAGTAACAGGTGGAGCATCATTAAAGTGAGATCAAATCTAGAAATAAGGAGAAATTTCCTGATAGTGAGAACAGTTGATCAGTGGAATAGCTTGTCTCGTGGAGTTGTGGGTGCTCCATCCCTGGAGGTTTTCAAAAATAGACTGGACAGACATTTGACTGGGCTGGTGTAAGTCTCGTGCTTTAAGTAGGGGGTTGGACCAGAAGATCTCTGAGGTCCCTTCCAGTCCTATAATTCTATATCAGACCTGGGCATTCAATGGCCTATGGGCCACAGCCCATCCTTTGGCTGTTCTTGTCTGGCTTGTGGCGGCAGCGGCCCTATTGATTCAGCCCATAACACTTCCAGTTTTGCATGTGGCCTCTTTGGAATTAATTGCCCACCCCTGTTCTATTTTCAGAACTGTTATCTTCTGTGGAACCAAGAGATTGGATAAAAAGAGGCCTTGGTCTGATTCTGCTCTGCGCTCAGATGTTCTCATCTCTTTTGTAAACCTATCATCCTGATCTTCTCATTTTCCATTCTTTTATTAAGCTGCATCTCTATTTCACCTTCCTTCCTCGTGTGTTCTGTGCAATATCATTATCTATGCTTTTTTTCTATTTGCGTAGAGTGCTAGAATATTGTACTGACTGATTGTATTTAATTTTCTTCTTATCTTGAGATAAATTGTACTTGTGCTGGCTGTTTTTTTTTTAATTGCTTTTGTGTAATGTCTTCTCTTGTAATCTTCTATGTTAAAAAAACATTTGATAAATCCCTATTGGCAATCAGTGGATCTTGTCAGAATCTGCTATCCCCTTCCATGGTTATATACCACCCTGGTATTTGAGAATAGATAAAACCTGATTTTTGTGCAAGATCTTTGATGATTAATTTATTTGTTGCTTGCAGTATTCATTTTTATTATATTCTCCTTTATACTCTGTTGTTGTACAGCATCTAGAACAGGGTGTCAAACTGTCGGCTTACGGGCCGGATGCGTCATGCTGAAACCGCGCCCACCCCATTGCCAGCAATGGAAAAAAAGTCATGATACGTTGCGACATGTCATATGACGTTGCAAATTTGACACCCATGATCTAGAACCTCTGGATTCAGCTAGTTTACAACTGGTCCTCAACTTCGGACTGTAATTGAGCCTGGCAATTGCAGTCGTAAGTTGTGATAATCATAAAGTGGATCACCATGTAGTTGGACCCATTTTTATGACCTTCCTTGTAGCAGTTGTTAAGTGTACCCATAGTTTGCTATAGGTCAGATTTTGCCAGAAACTACGTTCCTAGCAACCTATCATAAATCATGGTCATATGACTCCGAAGGCCACCGCAAATGGCCATAAATGCAGTCTGGTTCCTAAGCATGTAAAATGCAATAATATGACTGGGGAGGGTGATATTGAAATCTTGAAACTTGGTTATAAGCCATAACTTTAAACAGTCCCAAGTTGAGGGCTACCAGTATTAGTTTTACTAATAAAGACCACCAACCTTAAGAACATGGAGCTCGGTTACATTTAATCTAGCTGGTTACTCAATTGTGAATACTCTGCTTTCTTTCTTTCTTTCTTTCTTTCTTTCTTTCTTTCTTTCTTTCTTTCTTTCTTTCTTTCTTTCTTTCTTTCTTTCTTTCTTTCTTTCTTTCGTCTTTCTGTCTTTCTGTCTTTCTTTCAGTGGTTATTTTTCTTTTCTACACAGTAGAGTTTTCTTGTTGTGGGGGTATTTTTCAAAAGTAGCTCCTTTTTCTTAAAGTGATTTGTAACACTTATTACTATCACTATTGCAAATTAAG